AATGATAAGAAAGGTAATGTTTTTTTATTTTCCCAAAATTTCGCCAAAAAATTCTTAAACTTGAAAAATTATTTGGTTTTTCTTTAACGAACCAAGAGTTTTCTTTTTATTTTCTTGAGAAATCGCGCCCAGTGACCCTGAGAGTAAATTTTCTTGTGTGTTTGCCATTTTCCCATTTTCTTTTTTTTTCTCGTTTTACTCACAACACTTACTGATTGATTTTTTTTTGACCCTAAATAGTTAAGAAATCGATTTAAAGCTTTAATTTCTTTCAACTTTTAATTTCTTTCAAGTTTAAATGTTAGTTTAGATGGCTTTAATATACTAAAAGTAAACTTTTCTGAAAAATGATTGAGTCTGGAGTTGAAGCTGGAGTTGAAGCTGGATTTGAAGCTGGAGTTGAATCTGGAGTTGGATCTGGAGTTGAATCTGGAGTTGAATCTGGAGTTGAAGCTGGAGTTGAAGCTGGAGTTGAAGCTGGAGTTGAAGTTGGAGTTGAAGCTGGAGTTGAAGCTGGAGTTGAAGCTGGAGTTGAAGTTGGAGTTGAAGCTGGAGTTGAATCTGGAGTTGAAACTGGAGTTGAATCTGGATTTGAAGCTGGAGTTGAAGCTGGAGTTGAAGTTGGAGTTGAAGCTGGAGTTGAATCTGGAGTTGAAGCTGGAGTTGAAGCTGGAGTTGAATCTGGAGTTGAAGTTGGAGTTGAAGCTGGAGTTGAAGCTGGAGTTGAATCTGGAGTTGAAGCTGGAGTTGAAGCTGGAGTTGAAGCTGGAGTTGAAGCTGGATTTGAAGCTGGAGTTGAATCTGGATTTGAAGCTGGATCTCTGGACTCCAATCAACTCTGAATTCAAACTTTAACTATGAGATTTTTAACAATGAATGGATAATCTTCAAGCTTACTTGTAATTCTTCAGTTTTATCGTTCTACAGTCTTATGCTCAATTAGTTTTCTATATATAGATACTTTATTCAGGACCTGAAATAAAGTGCGCTAGATTTAAGATTAATACACATGAATTCATACACATAACACGAAAAGGGCTGATAAAAAGCAACACGATATAATATATTAGGTACATGCATAAGAAATGCGGATTTCAGCATTTCCATAAATTTCTAACGATAGAAATCTGATATCGATGAATGTTATAAACTATTTGAGTTGTATCTAAACTAAAGTTGTAAATCTCCTCTACAAAATAGGCTAAAACGTGTTTCAATTGATCGAACCATTGAAGAAATTTCGAGGGCGAAATGCGAGCGACCAAAAAAGGAATCGAGTCACTTTAGGGTCAAGTTTAGTGTGCTCAAAATAGAGTTAGCTTCCCAAACTTATTGGAGGTGACTGGAATTTCTAAAACGAGAGAACCTCTTCTTGAACTAACCGTGGGATTCACTTTGAATAAATCTCGAAAAAGAGGGATAGGTTGCCTGCCCTTTACAATTTTGAAACATTCTATTAAATCCGTGACCAAGTGCCGTGTTTTCGAAAATTCCCCTTATGATCTATTCGATAGAAACAATTTGCCACCTTGCGCGAAAAATTCAACCTGAGAAATAAATTTTATTTAATAGTTTTTAAAGAAAAATTGAAAGAAAATAGAGAAAAGAAGAATGAAATAAGGTTTTGTTTTGTTTTGTTTTGCTTTCTTTTCTTTTCTTTTCTTTTCTTTTCTTTTCTTTTCTTTTCTTTTCTTTTCTTTTGTTTTTAACAGTTATTTTTGAGTGATTTCTATATCTTGGTACAGATTTCGGAGTGATTTTTCCCCCAAATTTTCCCAATCAATCGATCGAAAATTCGTAGATTAATTCATAACTGGACAACCTAATAAATATGGTTTGGGAAAAGAGACATCTTCTTATCACTTATCCAGTTTCTTATCCAGTTTCTAATCCAACTTTCTGACCCCAATCCAGTTTTCTTACCTTCAAGCATAAGTTTTTAAGGTTAAACAGAATTGAAACCATCTTCAGAAGCACATTTTTCTTTTGTTTTGTTTTCTTTTCTTTTTAACAGTTATTTTTGAGTGACTTCTCCATCTTGGTACAAATTTGGAGTGATTTTTCCCCAAATTTCCCCAATCAATCGATCGTAAATTCGTAGAGAAGAGAAATGCAAAAACCAGAAACAGAAAAAAAAAGAAAAAAGTCTTTCAGAGAAATTGATAGCAATTTTTCTCTCATTTAAACCATGACAAAGAAATATTTTATTTTATTGTAAACTTTTATCAAGTTTATTTGAAATTTTTCGATTCTGTTGTTAGTAAAAAGTTGGACTTGTCTGGTTTTGTCATTCTTGGATCGAATCCAATCCCATTTCTCTTTAAAATCTCTTTCTCTTGCCAAATTTCTTTCCCTTTACAACTACAATATTTACCTTTTGATCGTTTGCTACACGTATTTGATCGCTTTAACTAGCAATATTTGTTTATTGGTCAAAATGAGAAAAGTTCTGCAAAAAATTGATTATTTAGCTTTAGAAGTGGGCTGAAAATTGATAAAAATAAGTCAAAAAGCTGATTTATCTACTTGTTTTTTTAAAACTTTGCTTTAACAAACTGCTACTTACAAACTACAAACTTTTCTACTTACAAACTAAACTTTGCTGGCCTCTTTTCTTTACAATCTTTGCCTTACAATCTTTGCCTTACAATCTTTGCCTTACAATCTTTGCCTTACAATCTTTGCCTTACAATTTTTGCCTTACAACCTTTGCTTACTTTTTCATGAAACACATGTCAAAATAGTTTAAATTTACGTTTGTTTGTTAATTAGTTTATAAGTATAATTTGTTATAAGTTACAGTCGAATCTAACGGAATGGAAGAGGCCAAATTTTTTTGTTATATAGAGTGCTGTTATATATAGCTTAGCGTCGACTGGGACCAAAATTCCATTCCGTTAGATAGAGCTATAGAGTTCCGTTATAGAGTTCTGTTATAGAGTTCTGTTGTAGAGTTCTGTTATAGAGTTCTGTTATAGAGTTCTGTTATAGAGTTCCGTTATAGAGTCCCGTTATAGGGTTCGGTTATAGAGTTCTGTTGTAGAGTTCCGTTATAGAGTTCCGTATAGAGTTCCATAGAGTCCGTTATCGAGTTCCGTATAGAGTCCCGTTATAGGGTTCTGTTATAGAGTTTCGTTATAGAGTTCCGTTAGAGAGTTCCGTATAGAGTTCCGCTATAGAGTTCCGTTATCGAGTTCCGTTATAGAGTCCCGTTATAGGGTTTCGTTATAGAGTTCTGTTGTAGAGTTCCGTTATAGAGTTCTGTTGTAGAGTTCTGTTATAGAGTTCCGTTATAGGGTTCCGTTATAGAGAGAGTCGACTGTAATTTACTGTTACTTCGACTTGAGTTTATTGCCGCACAATTGTACTAAGACTTACAAAAGTACCTTGTAGACTTGTTTTTAGTTGACAAGAATTCAACTATTTGAAATCTAACTAGAGAAGAACTAGCCCATCCAATCGAAAATCGAACGCGGAAGCCGAATCTGTAATTAAAAGTTATAGAGTTCCGTTACAGAGAAAGTCGACTGTAATTTATCGTTACTTCGATTTAAGGTTATTGCAGCACAATTGTACTAAGATTGACAAAAGTGCCTTGCAGAAATTGTTGTTTTTAGTTGACAATCTTGACGGAATTGTTTTTAGTTCACAAGAATTCAGCTATTTGAAATTCAGCTTTACGAATTTGTTATTTTCTTTTCTCAGCGACATATTGAGCTTCAAAAGAACAACTACAACGTTTCGAACAAACTTTGCTCTTTTACTCACTTATTATCTAATTTCTTTTCCCAGAGACCAGTTACAGACGCTTCTAATCCGATCATGAGGGTACTTTCTGCTCGAATACTTTCCCTGCCAAGAACCAGGAAGATTTTCGCCTTGAAATGGATTAATCTTAAAAGGATTAAGATTTCAAATGCAATTCGTCAATTTGAATTCCATTCTATGACTTCCATTTCATTCCATTCCATACTTTTTCTTTCCATTCTTTCCATTCCATTCTTTTCATTCTTTCCATTCCATTCTTCTATTTGAATTTCGATTCTTTATCTTGTTTTGATTGAATTGATCTTAAATTTGATCATTTTGAGCTCATTTTTCAACCTTCAATTCATATGAACTGGGAAATTGTTGAGATCGAACTCTTTACTGGGTTAAGCTCAAAATTCTGAAGATTTTTGAGCGCTGGATAATCAGAGAAGTGAATGGAATGCAAATTTTCCGAAAATCTTTTAAAAGAGAATTTTTTGGATCACTTTGCAAAGAGTTTGTGAAATCTGAAAAACACAGTCTTTTTGTATAAATTTACAGTTCTTTTAAATTACTTTAGACTATTAAATCAATTTTTTTGATTCTTGTTTGCTGTTGATCTTTTTTAAATCGATTCCCTTGTCTCTTAACCGATAATCGATTTCCTTGCCTCTCCGGGATCAGGCTTGTAGCCGGGGAATTGAATATCTTTTAGTTTTCAAAGAAAGAATAAAAGAGAGCTGCGTTTTTCTGCAATTTCCTCGTTTTCTGTTGTAGTGCGTAGCTGCTCAATTTGTTGAGTTTTTCTTTGAAAATCAAAAGATTAAATTTTACCGCTTTTTTTTCAGCTTACAAGTTACAAGTCCAGCTTACAAGTTACAAGTCCAGCTTACAAGTTACAAGCCCAGCTTACAAGTTACAGGCCCAGCTTACAAGATACAAGTCCAACTTACAAGATACAAGTCCAACTTACAAGTTACAGGCCCAGCTTACAAGTTACAGGCCCAGCTTACAAGTTACAAGCCCAACTTACAAGTTACAATAAATTTTAGTCCGCGATGATAAGGAGACATCCAACTCCTAAATTTCATCCATAATTCTATCATTTTCTTTTCCAATAGATTTCTCTATATTTAAAATCTATATTATCTCAATGTTTTCGATTTCGATTCAATGTTTTCAACTTTTTCTATCTTTATTTATTATCCAATTTCAGATATATTTCAAATTATCCCTGAAATCTCGAATGGATGGTGATCATGCCCAGTAATAGTGAGTTTATTTTTTTTTTAAATCAATTTTACGAGAAAATATTAATTTTATATAATATTAGATCATGAATTTATAATTTTTTCACAGAAAAGATAAGTATTGAGTAATCTGGGCTTAGAAAAATTCACTTATTTGTTTGATGAGGCTCGGTGAAAGCAAAAACAACTCAATAGCGCTCAGAATTTATATTTTTTAATGAATATTTAAATTATTCAGATAATCTGAATGACTATTGATTAAAGTTACTTTAAAACTACTTATTAATAAGGTTATACCTTTGCTCTACTTACCAAAGTCATTTTATTGGGTTGGTGAATTGAAAACTGCGGGCTATTGTCATATGTGACAGTTTGAGCACTTTCTTCAAAAGAAACCCATTTTGGTGTCAATAGAAAAGTTGTAGAGAATCCAAAATTAAGCTTATATCCAAATTTTCAGAACGATTCAAAAATTGGTTTTCAAGAAATGCCAAATTTACGAATTTTCACAAAACTTGCAACAAAACTTGCATTTTAACGAAACTGCTAAGTGTATCTTTTTGGAAATTTGGCTATGGGCCTAATTTTTAATTCTCTACAACTTTTCTATTGACACCAAAATGGGTTTCTTTTGAAGAAAGTGCACAAACTGGGACATCTCCAGTCCACCATTTTCGAGTCTCATACTTGTCTCACACACAAACCAAAATCCTACCACGAAAAAGGAATCCGCAAATTGCCTTTAATGGGCAAAGTCGTCAATAATTGGGTTATTTGGATGAATTGTGGTTTTATGTTGAATAAATTTTAGTTCAAAGTCCCGCAGTTTTCAATTCACCAACCCATTAAAATCTGCTATTGACTTTTGTTATTGAAATCATTGGTTCTGTTGTACATCTTCACGCGCTTTGTGCACCCAATTTAGATTAAGTTTAAGATAGATTCAGGCTATAGTTTTGGAATATAGCTTAAGCTTAAGTGTAGCTTAGATAAACTTCCACATCAAGTGGATAAAACAATATTATAAATCCAAAATGGTTTGGTCAATTTGAATGGGGATGTAGAACAGAATAGGTATGGATAGAATGATCATTTTCATTAAGCAAATCATTTCCTAAACTTTATCAATCTATTTATAAGCAAAAAAATTGCTTTTTAGAACGTGAAAAGATCCCCGAGGGCACCTTATGTGTCGTCTGTCAGGATTTAGCCAGCGGGATCCACTACTCAGTGGCAAGTTGTGAGTTTTTTTCAGCAATATCAATAAAATATACTTGCTGTACTCGATACTTTTGCTTTTTTCTTAAGCCTCGGCGGTAGATCAGAAAAAGAACTTGCTGAGCTTGTCGAAAATATCTTGCTTACTATCCGGAGATGCAAAAGCAGTCTTTTTAAAGTTTGACCTTGAATCTTTCATCACAACTTATCTCTGATTTTCAAGAGCTCACGGTTCTGAAGACTCAGGTATTTCCTTCTTTCTTTCTTTCTTTCTTCTTCCCCTGTCTCTCCATCTTTCTCTTTGCAAGTTAAGGTATCGGATAACTCAGTGGTTAGAGTAATTGCCCGGAAAGCAAGATTCAAGGTTCAATCCCTTCTCCGGAAATCTACTTTTTTTGCTAATTCCATCACTTGTCAGCTATTTGAAAATAATCGGAAAGACCAATCGTAATGGACAATAGATTCCACATGAATTGAGCACCGAGAGTCTGGAAGCACGCGTTTTGATCAGCCATATCTTGCTTCTCTTGCTTTTGAAGAAATTTTTTTGAGAATATCTTAATGATAGACGAGAAATGGATCCACTTCAATAACACTTCTCAAAAAAAACAATGGCTCAGCAAGTGCCACTGTCAATGAGTAGTCCAGCTAATGATAATTTGCTATTACAATCAAAGAAGAACTTAAATCCTTCAGCTCTTTCTCTGCATTTCTGCAAGCTTTCAATAATTAACTGAAACCAGTTCCCATAAATCTAATTATGGCTTATGTGTAAGACAAGCAAAATGAAGGATTTGTTTTATCGTTTTTCAATTTTTTTTTTCAAGAAATCTGTTGGTGAAAGGAAACAAATTAGGGAAAGGGATGTGCAGATGGCAGAGAAATCATCAATAGATGAAGAGGAAACGAAATGGGATGGAAATTTAGCTAAAGAAGGATTTAAAGGCTACTTTGCCGCAATTCTATAAAGGTTTAGAACCTGGAAAAGCGCGATAGAAAGTTGATGAATAGAATTAAAGAATTGTTTTCCTTTCTAGATCCACTAAAGCACGTAGGCTAGAGGCTATGATACGGAAAAGTTCTCAAGTTATTCTTTCAAAGAAATCCTATTGTAATCTAAATGAAAATTAGAATCTAGCGAAGATGAAAACTTTTCTAATGAAGAGGAAACGAAATGGGATGGAAATTTAGCTAAAGAAGGATTCAAAGACTACTTTGCAGCTCTATAAAGACTCTATAAAGGTTTAGATCTTGGAAAAGCGCAATAGAAAGTTAATGAATAGAATTAAAGAATGGTTTTCCTATGTAGATCCGCTAAATCGAAAAATGAGTTCAACATGAGCTGAATTGCAGGCAATGGTTGCAAAACATTCTTCCGAAGAGCCCTCGTCAACAAGCAAACTTTCCAATGTCAATTCAAAGGAGAATGTGAAGTGGGAAAAGGTAATACTGTTCAAATAATCTTTTATCAACTCTAATTTAGCTGTTCGATGTGTTTGTCGGAGCTGTCGTTTGAAGAAATGCTTTGATATGGGAATGGATCCAAAAGGTACAGTAGAGTGGTCGATTTCATTGATTAATCCCTTGTTTTTAAAGGATTACTAACAAAATTTGTGATTGTTTTTCGCTGGTTTCTCTAAAAATGTTGACTTTAACGTCGATTTTTAGGAGAATAGGTATATTTAAATTAAAATTTAGTAAATATACTGATACTTATAATTTTCTTCATCTCTTTACAACACAACTTTAGTTAACAAGAACTTTTAACTTCAGTTAATCTATTTTTTTTGTTTCTTTGTAGATCTTTTATTTATTTAGAAACAGTAAAGTACGATTTTGCTATATATTTTCTGTATTTTACTCTATAGTTTTTATTTAGCCATTCAAAATGATCGAGACAAGATTCGGTACACAAAACAGCTACGGAAACAACGAGAAGCTGAGTTAGAACGACGACGAGAGGAAACAAAATTGAGAGAGGGAGTCAAAGCCGAACCTGGGAGTCCTGGAAGCAATGGGTGAGTTGATAAAGCATCTTAATTTCTTTCTAGCAAGGGCTATTTAAATTCTAAGTACCCCAGCTTGCCCTCACCGATCACCTTGCCAAAATAGAAGTTATAGAATTGATTATGCGGATCACTGGTCATCTGGTCATCTTATCGGGTCACAATGGTGCAAGAATCTGCTCGTACGCCTGCAAATGCGAAAGCAAGCGTTTAAAAGCTAATTAGTTCATGAAAAGTGAAAAAGAGTAAAAAGAATTGCTAAGTGAAGACTCGAACTCAAGCAAAAGTAGATCGCCTGCCTTGTATCCGGCTCTCTTATCCACTGCGCCATCAATAGACGCGAGATATTTCGCAAACTTGTACATATATCGCGCCAGATCTCTCGCACTTCTGGTCGTATGAGTAGTTGATTTTGCACCATTGTGATCAGCATAATCGGATTCTACGGCTTCTATTTTGGCAAGGTGATCGGCGAGGGCCAGCTGGGGTACTTCCCTTGTTAGAAAGAATTTAAGATGCTTCGGATGATCTACTCTTGTTAAGAAGAATCAATTACACAAAGTATCACAAGAATTCACCCCAACATCTCCTAAAAAACCAATAAAGCTGGTAGAACAGCTCTACAAACTCATACTGAATCTTACATTCTTTACTCTAAATCTTCAGCTCTGACAACTATCACAACACCTCCACTCCATCCTCGTCAGCTCAAGCGAATCTCGAGAACGAACTCCGCGAATTTGAACAAGAATCTACGGTATCTTTTTTGGATTTCTTTTTGTTTGTCTTTTGATTGTCATTCAAATTTTTTTAAACCTTTCTTTAGGCGGAACTACGTGATATCATTGAGGATTTGGTGAGAAAAGAAGCTCGTCTAATAGCGGTGAGAAAAGCGGCAAGATTTGAGCCCAATTCGTCCGCCACTTCCTCCATACATAATAGGTAGGGATTTTTGGATTTGAATATTTTGAAATATCTTGGATTTTGAAATATTTTGGATCTGAAAGATGAAAAAGATTAAAAAGAAAAAGGAGAAAGATAATCTAATGATAAGAATGAGCTAAGGATCATAGCTTTCAAGAGCACAGCTTTCAAGATCACAGCTTTCAAGAGCACAGCATAACCGACTTAGTAAGGAGAATTGCTTTCTGGCTTTGCTTTGAAGACTTTGAAAGATTTGCTTTGCTTTGAAGACTTTCAAACTTGAAATTACTAAAGTTATTACTTTCAAAATAGTTTGCTATTTCTATTTTAGCTTTCTATCCTTTATAAAGATTAGAATGTGTACTTTGAGTTGAAAAAAATGAAAACACAAATTTCCTGACAAACTTTAAAGCAATTATTTGATATTTTCTTATATCATAGACTACAAAAAATATAGTTTTGCAGAAAAATGGACTTATTAAGTACACTAGAAACTGCGTGTTTCCATTTTTTTCTTAATTATAACTTCATTCAAAACAGCTTTACCGTTATCATCAATTTTTCTCGATCATTCTCGATCAATTTATTCCTTATAAGCTATAAGTACACAATTTTCCTTCTCTCTCTTCGTCACTTGTTTATCAAATTGCAAAATCTTCTCAAAATTAAGCCAAATCTTTGATGTGATTGCTTAAAAAAAGTAAATAATCTTGGCTTTCATTCAAATTTGCTGATTGCAAAGCTTTTTTTGGGAGAAAAATTGAAAGTTTTCCATGAAAATGAAGGGAAAAATAAAGAGAAAAATGGGAATTTCATACTGTAAAGATCAAAATATGATCATCTTCTTGGAATCTATTTTTTAAAAAGTTTTTAAGTGGTTTGCACCTGAGAACATCAAATTCTAATGATCATAAATCAAAAAAAGAAAAGATGTTGTGCAGTGTGGGAGAGAATACCGATGGGGGCAATGATTATTATTGGGTTGGGGAGAATGAGTCGGCGCCGAAAATGAAAGAAATTTCTAAAACTTATAGCAGACTTTGTCAAATGATATGCGTTTGATATCCGTAGAAGGGTAACTAATTCTCTACAAAATAATATTTAAAAGAGAACTCAAACAGCGCCTCAACTCAACAAAGGATCATTTTTTCACAAAATCGATAAACTGTCATCTAGAGTAAACGGTTGGAGGGATCTTCCTGAAAATTTGGTAACTTATGTAATTGAGTGTGCTCTATCTTTTTTATATAAACACCAAAGGAGGTTTATGTGGAAGAAACTGTTCAAGCAATGAGTCGGACTTTTTGTCATTTTGATTAGCTGTGTTTGGGAATCCATAAAATCCCAAAAAAGAAAAGCTTTGTGGAATCTCTCAAAAGCCATTTTGTAAAGAAATAGTGGACCATTTTGATGAAACAAAACGTGTATTTAAAGAAGGTTTTATGGGTGCAAAAAGTTTCTTTAAATTTCGGCGCCGACTCATTCTCCCCAACCCAATAGATATTTATTCCGAGTCTAGCATAATACTAATCTAGCGAGAAAATATAAAAGAATAGAATCAATCGTTGGTTCAGTTTTTCATAGCAATACGAAAAGGCAATATGAAAGGAAAGAGAAAAGAATATGAAAGGACAATATAACAATATACGGCTGTGGGCTCCCGTCCCTTTTATCATAAAAGCGATCTTTTAGAGGCGGGAAAAGAGAATCAGATATTCAAATCAGAACATTAAATAAGATTTCACAGAAAAGAGCCACTTTTCTGCACAGATGTGATAATTTTTTGTTTCTTACAGGTGTTTACTTGAGGACGATCAATGGGTGACGGTGAACTCGATTCCGATGGTGAGTTTTGTGATTGGTTTATAAAATTTGTTAGGTTTGGCCTAAGAATTGATCCATTTGAATTTGAGTCATGCAATTTCATTATCCAAAACGCTTTCCAAGTATTTAAAGTGGAAAAGCTGACTTTCAATCAGCCAAAACTTTTCTATTCTTTCTTACAATTCTCTTGATTTGACTCTTGACTTTAACTCATTTTTTGAAAGTAAATACTAGAGACATTTTCTGTATTAATATTTAAATATGGAGCAGATTCTATGGTGAATTCATCAAGAACGGTCAGCTTGAAGAATCTAAGCTTCTAAGAATCTAAGCTTCTAAGAATCTAAGCTTGAAGAATCTAAGCTTCTAAGAATCTAAGCTTGCAGAATCTAAGCTTGAAGAACTCCCTGTCTCTTCACAGCAAATTCTTAGAGTTAATTCCAAGTTAAGCCAAGCTAAACCCAAATTAAACAAACAAAAATAGTTCTCGATTAAATTTTGGGCTTCTTGACTAGCCATGGCTTTAGTTTTTAGAAGAATCAATTGTTTTAAGATATAAAGCCGGCTTTATAGGCCAAAAATCAAAGCGCCACACTTCAGAGGACCTAGATTGATCAAAATTGGATCAATCGTTCTGATTTTTCTGGAGATAAATCTTGAGTATGTCGCCTAAAATGGTGCCCATTATCTAATCGATTTAACCATTCAACTTTTATATATAGCCTTTCAAAGTTGAGAGCCAAGTCGCTCGGCATGATACTCATTTATGGGATTTTTGAAAGCAATCTTGTCAAAATCTTGTTGAAATTGAATTTATTATGTTAATGAACGAAATTTTACGCAGTTTAAGTACAAAAATTCTTGAGGAATGCCACCAAAACTCACTTAATATAGTCTGTTTTATGATTTATGTCATTCAGAGAAGAAAAACTGATTTTAAAGAATAAGAAAATCCTATTTTTTAGGGCTTTTGCTTCTAAAATTTTATAACTAAATTGATTAATTGAAAATGATGAATGAAAATGATAAAATCTTAAAGACTTTTTATCAAAAAAAAACTTTCAAAACCATAAATGAATAGCCGAGCGACTTGGCTCTCAACTTCGAAAAGCTATATAAAAAAGTTGAAGGGTTGAATCGATTAGATAATGGGCACCGTTCTAAGAGACATACTTAACATTTATCTGCAGAAAAATCAGAACGATTGATCCAATTTTGATCAATCTAAGCCCTCTAAAGTGCAGAATTGTGAGCCACTCTGGGATTCTGGTATAAAGCCATTTTTTTGACTTGATTTGGACTTGATTTGGAATAGCTTTGATCATTTAAATAGCCTAAATATCAAGAATCTAATAAGAGTTTGATTCCAGATGACTCCTTTCGCCAAGCCATGCAGTCTTGACTCATTGAGAGCTTGGTTCGTGAGAGATCTCTCTCTGATGATCGAATGGGGGAAAACGATCAAATTGGTTCGAGAAAAGCTGTTAATCAGTGATAAAGTGAGTCAAAATCGATTGAATCAAGAAAATCTCAAGCTTTAGTTAGCCTTGATGAAAGCAGCAGCTCCGATTTGGCCTCTTTTACATCTTGCCTACTATTCAGCTGATGATGACTCGTTTCCCTGCGTTAGTAAGTGTTATCAGAGTACTGTAGTCTCGTTTACCAGAGTACTTTAGTTTGAGGTTTATATTAAGAGTACTGTACTTTAAAGAATTAACTTTAAAGAACTTAATTCAGGACATTTGCTTAAGAATATTCAATAATTCAGAGCAAGAGCCTGGAGTTGAAATCGGTGAAAAGTTGAACTACCCAGATGGTTGTTATATTGATAACACTTCAACGGAGATGCTAAATGCGTAAGTTCTTTGTTAAAACTGAGCTCATTTCTGCTTATAATCGATGATTTATATGTCGTAGCCGTTTACGAAATTTAGCCATTAACAATTTGCGAATCATTCGTTAACATTCGTTACACGAATCATTCGTTAACAGCTAACCGTTAACGATTTGCGATTTAGCTAAGCTAGATAAGCTGATTTGCGTCTTGCATAAATAGTTTGAAATCAAAAACTCATTTGAATCAAGCCATGTTCGCAGAAGTGGATTACAAATTGTACACGGATAGGGAAAAGATTTCATTTGTTATCGGCTAACCGTTAACAAATCATTCGTTAACGGTTACTCGCTAACAAATCATTCGTTAACGGTTACTCGCTAACAAATCATTCGTTAACGGTTAGTCGCTAACAAATCATTCGTTATCGGCTAACCGTTAACAAATCATTCGTTAACGGTTACTCGCTAACGAATGATTCGTTAACGGTTAGTCGCTAACAAATCATTCGTTAACGGTTAGTCGCTAACAAATCATTCGTTATCGGCTAACCGTTAACAAATCATTCGTTAACGGCTGAATTTCGTAAACGGCTATGTCATATATAACTTTTGATATTTTTTTTAGCTGTGACATGTTCCATCTCTTGAAAAACGGTGTCTACAAGGTGTTGCGGGATTTGAAAGTCGAGAAAGAGCTCTTCGTGTTGTATAAACTCTTGCTGTTGCATAATCCAGGTAAAATTTGCAAAAATTTCGTTGAAAATAAACTTATATAGCTAGTAATGCTAAGAACTTGTCATTTCTAGTTTGTATTTGACTCATAATTTTCTATTTACAAGTTTATTAGAAGTTCAGCCCGTGATTCTCATTCAGAAACCTCAAAACTGCTACTAAAACTGTAATTTTGATCTTTAATTGAATTAATTGAATCAATTTGATTTAATCTTTGTTTTTATTGAATGATTTTTCTCACACGAAGCTCTTAAGCTATCAAATTTTGCTTTAAAAATCTTATTTTCATCTGCTAAAGTCTAGTTTTGACCAGCATATGAAATTGAGTTCGTTTTCGAGTTTTCTAGTTTTCTAGTTTTCTAGTTTTCTAGTTTTCAAAAATCCGTTTTTACAGAGTTGAGGCGAGCTTTGAGCGCTTTTAAAAGTCATTTTGAAGAGAAATGATAGATCTTTTTCAGATCTATCATTTGATAGATAGCTTAAAATGTAAAAAATCTGATAAAGAATTCTATTCTATGGAAAAATTTGTAAGATTTCAAATACAATTTACTTTTTGCAGATGCTGAAGGCCTATCGAAGCCTGGGAAACAAATCATTGAGGAAGAGCGATGCCGAATTCTTTCCCACGTCTATCTATACATTCACCAAGAGAAAGGCCGTCTCTCCGCCGGTCTTTACAGTAATCTTCTCATGATGACGGCTACTCTATCGGTTAGTTTGCTTTTTTGGGCGTAGATTAACGGCTATGATGAGAATGACAAAGAAAACCTAAAATAAATCAGGCTCTGTAGGATAAATATAGCTAGTTTAAACTTTACTACTTTACTTTACTATGTCATAAACTTTACTTTCGAGCCTTTTACCTGATTACCTTATTTTAAGCTCTTATTTTACCTTATCGTGTAAGACAAAGTTCAATGAACTAGAAAGGGTTTGTTTACAAATCGAGCACTAGCCAGAATGTAATTTGCGCTTTCACAAAGTACATACTAGCTTTCTGGTCAAGCCAGCAAAAGGAAATGCAGCTGGCTCTAGCTCTAGCTGGCTCTAGCTCTAGCTGGCTCTAGCTCTAGCTGGCTTAGCTCTAGCTGGCTTAGCTGCCAAGTCAAGCTCTAGCTGGCTTAGCTGCATTTCCTTAAATTGTGAAAGAAAGCTTTATGGTTAGAAAAGGTGTGTTTACGTATTTGAGCATAAAAACTCTCAAACCATTGAGATTAGGTACTCAAATTGAAGAACAACAAGTCTAATAACTGGATAAAGCTAACTTAAACTTAAACTTAATGCATCGAAATGCATCGATGATCGATTGTGCTAAATCATAGTTCAATCATTGAAAAGATTCAAGTTAGTCAAGCAAAAATTATCCGTGATTTTTCGATTGTATCAAATGAAATTCTTTCCAGAAATGCGCCTCTTTCATCAGACGAGTATTTGACGTGACGCACATCTTCGGGCACACCAATGATCTCATCGATCAGTTGATCATCGTCGGATTGTAGATAGTTCATAGAAGATTCCAGAGTGAAAATCTCGATTCAGAACTATGAAAGTTAAAGCCAGACATTAGTCAGTTAAATAGCCACGAAATATCAAAATCTAGAGTGATCTGGAAGTAGAAATGGCCATTTCTAGCCATTTCTAGCCATATAGCTGAATTTTGAGCAGCTTTTCCAATCAAAAAACCAATCTCAAAGTTGGAATTTGAACGAAAAGATGGGAATTTCCATTTCATCAGCTAAGCCGACAGATTACGGTATTTCCTCGGCTATAAATTCCGCCAAAACCCTCTGTACAAAAAGTCTTTTCTTTGTGAATGTAAATGGCAAAATTGTGAGATTAGTGGGGGGAAAAAATTCGATTCGAGATCATTGTAGGCAAGACGGATTTCCCTAAACCCTGAATATATGCAAAATCGTAAACTTTTCAGATTTAGGGACTTTTTTTCTTTGAAATATACGGGCAATTTTGATTACAATGAATTTTTATGTGTATTTTCTTCAAATCATTTGTGTTCTTCTTTTAGAATTTTTCCTTTCATTAGATTTCCATATAGTTTCAAGGAATTCAAAAGTTTTAGAGTGGATTGCGAGGAAATTGCGGAGTAATGGAGTAGTGCGTAAAAAGTTGAGTAGTCTAGTGATGAGATGAGTCGAAAATGTTGAGAAAAAGAGACTTTAAGATTCCGCGGCGAGTGTTTCAATCAACTTTCAGACTTTAAGACTCACACATCTCATGTTTCAGGTTCTGAATGGTTTATAGAGTGTTCTACAGGCTCGTAGAGTGTTCTACAGGCTCATAGAGTGTTCTACAGACCCATAGAGTGTTCTACAGACTCATAGAGTGTTCTACAGACTCATAGAGTGTTCTACAGACTCATAGAGTGTTCTACAGACTCATAGAGTGTTCTACAGACTCATAGAGTGTTCTACAGACTCATAGAGTGTTAGACAGACTCACAGAGTGTTAGACAGACTCATAGAGTGTTAGACAGACTCATAGAGTGTTAGACAGACTCATAGAGTGTTAGACAGACTCATAGAGTGTTAGACAGACTCATAGAATGTTTCACTAGCTGCCCACCAATAGCTATTTAACTTCTTACCGTTTATAGACACTTTAAAACATCTAAAAATTGTTTTTAGTGTTTTAACAAAAAAGTAAAAATATTTTGACGCGAAGGGGATTCGAACCAGGGACCAGAGATTGGATCCAAGTCACGGGTCAAGCAACTTATCCACTACACCATCCAGTCGCTTAAGAGCGGGAAGTAAAGTCACCCCATAGTTTGGTGGCGCTTTTTTTTTCCTTTAAAATCATTTTCTCGAAAACTGGACGCTATGGAAGAACACTGAAAAACTCACTGAGAATTTCAAGGTGGCGTTTCTGCGCTAGATCCAATATCCGAAATCGATGCTAGTTTCGAGCAGTTCCCCCATTTCGAGCAGTTTCCCAGCTAGTCCTTCTAGGCGCCAAGTTACCCTGCACTAGATAACTATGCAGATATTCAAACCCCGAAACAATCTTTGTAACCTCTCGAAATCCCGTAATCCTCGATGCTAGTTTCGAGCAGTTCCCCTATTTCGAGTTTCCCAGCTAGTCCTTCTAGGCGTCAAGTTACCCTGCACTAGATAACTATGCAGATATTCAAACCCCGAAACAATCTTTGCAACCTCCCGAAATCTATCCCGAAATCCCGTAATCCTATCCCAAAATATCCCGAAATTGTGCCAAATCATCTCATTTTTTTTGATTTCATTACTCGTTGATTCTCCGTTCTTTTTTGTACAGCGACTTTTCACAAAAAACGATTCTTAGGCTCAAATTCGAACTTTTTTCTGTATAGCTTTGCCCAGATTCCATTTTTTTCCATCCCGATAGCTCTCAGGTGATCTTAATAAAATTACCCTCAAAAATTATGTTTTACCATCTTTTTTGTGTTTGCTTAATTGTCATTTTGCATTTTCTTTGCATTTTATTGCTTTTTCTTTGTCTTTTTGAGAATTCTATGAATATATTAAAAGATAAATAATAAATATGTTAGAAGATATAATATTTTAAAGTTTAAAATAGCATAAAATCACACAAAAAGATGGCAAAGACTTGCACAAAAAGCTGTAAGCTCATTTCAGATCTATTAAAGTCTATAAACTATTTTCAAGTGCAATTTGCTGAGTTGAAAATTTGTTGACAATTTTTTGCTGAGTTGACAATTATGCGAAGCTTGCTGAAACCGAAAAGCAGGGATTTAGGGAATCATTACGATGGGATTATCGATGAGCGCTCTCCAAACGATCATCCAACAAAGCTTTGACCTAGTTTCTTTATTTCCGTACTTTCTAGCATCGATTCAACTAAATAAAACTGCGAAATTTCTACTAAAACTTTATATTTTAAAAGCCAAACAGCAAAGATCCCATTTCTCCTTAAAATTTTAACAGCAAAGATCCCATTTCTCTTTAAACTTTGTAGTTTTCTAGTGATCACTCCTTTACAAGGCTCAAAAGTTTCCCTTTTTTTAAAAATTTCCCGCTTCCCTTGCGCTTTTTTTTGTATTTGTGAGGCAAAAGGAATATTTCAAAATGTAGATAAAAATCTTTTCGTCGACGAGGTGAGACAGTGACGATGAAAGGAATGGGGAAGAGTTGGGGAAAGGATTGAGGGAAGGCAAGGTCACTTATACGTTGCATAGACGTCTTGGCACCGGAAATCGAAGATCCTTAAGTTCTTTTGTAATTTAAAGTTTAGATTTTCGTAGCTACTCAAGCGTATAATATTTTGTGGAATACTGTGGATATGTTCTTATTTAAAGAACAGTTATTTTTCACCTCGTACTTTAGAAATCTTTGTTAGAAAGAACTCCAGAGATACGCTCTCAGAAAAAAACCTTGAGAAACTAATGTAATCCGTTTTTGAGAAAACTACCGTAATCCATTTTGCGAGCTATTTATCAATTTTGCCAAAAAGGGCTCGCAAAACGCTTTGTTGTCATCAAAATTGAGCCCTGTTCTCGAACATCGATCGATCATTTATTGTCTATCATCAAAGGATAAACAATTTCATAATCTACCTCTTTTCTCTCAATTTTATGCTTGTTATAGCATGATAATTGAGTTTAGAATCTCTTCTTTTCATCAATCATTCTCTTTAAAACTTGAATAGCTTTTTGAAAGCCGTTTTCAATGTATAAACCCGTTTATCTATTAGGTTGGGGAGTATGAAATGGGGCCCTGATCAAATGGGGCCCTGATGGAATGGGGCTTTTTGGAGCCCTGATAATCAGGAATGAGTACATCCTGCAGTTCCAACAATAAGACTGACTTTATCTACCAATTCAGATGTTCAAAAGATGTATCCTCAGCTTCATTATTCAATTTGGGTAGTATGAAATGGCGCTGACTTTCAAAAATTTTTCTAAAACGCATAAAAGCTTCATTTGTCTACCTATCCTCTCTCAACTTTGTGCTTGTTATAGCATGATAATTGAGTTTAGAATCTCTTCTTTTCATCAATTATTCTCTTTAAAACTTGAATAGCTTTTTGAAAGGCTTTGAAAGCCTTTTTCAATCTATAAACCCGTTTATCTATTAGGTTGGAGAGTGAAATGGCGTCGAATTTCTGAAAGATATAAAAGCTTCATATAATTTATTGTTTGTATAATCAAAAAGGCCTATAATTTCTCTATTAAATGGCTTTTAGGAGATTTCGAAAAGCTTTTGTTTTGTGGATTTTATGAGCTTCTAAACGTAACTAATCAAAATGACAAGGAGTCCGGCTCGTCATTTGACTCGTTTCTTACACATAAACCTAACTTGATCTCTACACAAAAAAGTTAGAGGACATTTCATTACATAAGTAGCTCAATTTTTGTAGTAATCTCGTCAGCCATTTTCTCTAAATGACGATTTATAGATTTTCTGAAAAAAATTAATTAAATCAAATTGTTTTGAAACGCTTTTTATTGTATTGGGACGCTTTTTGAGTTTTATTTCAAATCTGATTTTGTAGAGAAATAAGCAACCTTCCTAATGATACTATTTGCGTATTATTTGATAAAGAATACTCAATGTTATTAAAGTTTCTTTGAAAGTCGGCTCCAATAGAAAGCACTCCATCAAAGTTTTCATCAAAATTGAGCTCTGTTCTCGACTAATCGATCGATCATTTATTGTCTATCATCAAAGGATAAACAATTTTATAAACTACCTCTTTTCTCTCAATTTTGTGCTTTTTATAGCATGATAATTGAGTTTAGAATCTCTTCTTTTCATCAATCATTCTCTTTAAAACTTTAGTAGCTTCTCGGAAGGCTTCAATAGCTTCTCGGCTTCTTCAAAGCTTCTTCAATGGCTTCCTCAATGGCTTCTTGCTTTAAAATAGAATTATTTCAATTTTTCTATAAAACAAGGCTATTTCAAAGGCAATTTTTTCCAGATCTGGGTCTTGTGAGGTCAGAAGCCTGGTTCTGGCTTGACTTTGGACTGGATTTGCTATAACTCTGCTTACAGATCATGAAAATATTCATAGAGCCCTGAAATCTCTCTTTTTACAGCTCTTTAGACCATTATTGGTAGTAAATTTGAAGTAAAACTAAAATCTCAGGTGATAAAATCACAAGTAAGTAGATATTTTCCACAAGTAAATAGATGTTTTCTATTCTTTGCCTAAAGCTCACACCGTGAATCCCGTCACGGCTGATCTGCGCACCCGTTTCTTGTATAATTATAGTCTCTTCACTGTATGGATTGTCCATTCTTTTCACTTCTCTTTTCTTCCATTCGAGACACGCGAATATTTCCCCGTTTTCATGAAAAGAGTGCCTTCATGACCCCATTTTTCTCTTTTCCTACAATTCTTTCACAGTCAATCGGATCAAAAGGAATCTCTCCTCATCCAACGAAGTAGATCTTTCAATTTTTCCGCAAACTTTCTCAAAAGCCCACTTTTTTTTCTCAAAATTGGCTTTGACCTGCATCCCATTTAGCGGCTTTTTTTCAGG